GTGTAGCACGAATGACTGCCAAATATAGATGTTACTTACAATATTCAATATTTGTTGTTGTTTTGTATGTTCTGAGAATCAAAATAAATATAGATTGGTTAAAAAATTATTGATGTACTTCTTTACAGAAATTGTCAGTCATTGTATTTGATGTTGAAAGCATTGGAGTTTCCATGTACTCCTCTGCATTCTATGATACCTCAGGTAAGTATTGCCGCTTTGCTTTCAAAGTAAATGTTGCATTCTGAGTAAGGCATGTATTCACTGCCATTGAGGTTTTACTGAGTGAATAATGTACATTTGTAGTTTAATCAGTTATATTGAAATTCTCCAGTATTAAAAATGTTTCATAATATTTCCAAAATAAACTTTCATCTGACATTTAAGGATTAAGCCACTGCTGCAGGTGGATATACCATAAGATATTGCACATTCACAATATATTTGTGCACAGGAAAGTGCATATATAGAGGGAGTTGTGTAATATCTAATGGTACATGTATACGGTATCCACTGACTGCAGTGGTGGTCTATGAAATGAATGTAAGCATCATACAGACTGCGATTACCGTTGTATGCCCTATTACATTTTTTGGCTTGACAAAGTTCACAAGCAAACAGCAATCATTTTTTTTGGCGTTGTTTGCGTAATTCTGAATGTTTTTCTCGTGCATCTCTTCTGAATTCAAAATACCCAAAAGGTTCAAATGTTCTTCATTACATGCTATGTCTGTAGTGCAAAATTATATTTTGCCTGATTTCACTTGACATTCGGATTTACTCGCTGTGTGTTATTCACTTTTGGGTCTAATTTTAAACATGAAAAACTGTGGTACATCATCTGTTCAACCACTGCTTGCATAATTAAAAATACTGTAAAGGGGTTAATTATTCACTGGGTTTAAATTTGTCCTTATTTCGCTGACTGGAAAATGCGCTAAATTAAAACCCATTGAATATGTAAAATTTAGCATAGAACACATTATCTAAATGATAATACTGTGAATTTAAAACCCACTGAATATGCCTGAAATGGTAAATAAGCGAAATTTAAAGCCAGTGAAAATTAGTCATTTTACAGTACACTCTTGACCAATCAAAATGACATATTCAGACCATTATAATGCTGGGGTCCCTGTAGAAATGAACAACCTAAATAATAAAGTGGTTACCGACTACTCACCGAGACACTGATACTGTGATTTGTTATATGTATTAAGTACACAACTCTCTTTGATGGGACACAAATATTGACTGCATTAATTATTTGGTTATCAATAGCGAGATCGTATTGCATCGCTAGCACAGTTCAAATCTGGAAGAGTACGAATATTGTTAGCAACAGACGTAGCCAGTAGAGGACTTGATATTCCGATTGTACAACTGGTGGTTAATCACAATGTACCATGGTCTCCTATTGATTATGTACATCGCGTTGGAAGAACTGCTCGAGCAGGTGAGTAGGCCACCTTGTCGCAATGTGTCATGGTCACTTCAAGGCTTAGTGACCTCTTGTCAGCATTTTTGTTTTGCCTTGCCCAAAATGTTTTGGGATCGTTGGAGGTACTAGACGTGGATTTGTTATCGGCCATCATTGATAACTTTTACAGTGTATGCCTTTTACCATAAATCACTGAAAACTATTTTTGGAATTTTTTTTACGAGACATGATTCACAAGTCTGCAGGCATGTGTATATACGATGTATATTACTGCCCAACTATTGTTCATTACAATGACCCATAGAAGTGAAACACATCAATATAGACTTCATAATATACCCCAGATTAAAACCATGTAATTATTTTGCTCTCCATTTTTTTTCCCATAAAAGTTATAACTAATATTATAATTAAGTTATTCTTTGAGCCTTGTACGCTTGTTACAATCATTATATATATTTTAGGAATGGAATGTGCAATTTCAGAAGCACATATCTAGGTTTTAGAAGTACTGTGGAATACTTTATTTTTGGTGGAATTAATTTTCGCTGAAAAGGTTTTTTGGGCATTTTGTATGGAATTTATTTTCACTGATTTTTGGTGAGTTTAATGTAAAATATAGGACAAAAAGTATATTTGCTGGATTTTATTTTCACGGAATCATCCTTTCAGCGAAAATAAATTTCAAGCGAAAATAAAGTATTTTACAGTATACTGAACATGCCCCGTCCATCTTTATGTGAAATGCATTGACAGAACATCTAGTGATTATGTTTGTGTTACAGGTCGTGGTGGAATGGCTTTAACTCTGATGACGCAATATGATGTCAAATTAATTGAGGCAATCGAAAAACAGATCAGTAAGTAGAATGCTAGTGTGAATGGTTGATGCAAATTATAACAAGAAAACTGCCTTAAGTTGAGATTTTAATTGTGATTAAGAAATTTTTCAACTGCTCCCAATAATGAAGTATTTTCTTCACGATTTATTGTCTGATTTCATTTTCATAGATCATATTTACCATATGATCGAAACCTAGTTAATTATGTTAAGAAAAAGTTAAAAAGTCACAGTTTTCTTTAAAAATAAAAAAGATATTACAGTGTGAGAAAAATACAGACAATTCTTCTACCCACATTTTGATGTCATTCAAAAGCTAATCGATAAAAAAACGAAAAAGTTAATTGTATCAACAAAATATTAGCACAATATCCTAAATTTTACTCGTATTATTTCCATTTTTTTTACTAAACCTTGAATCAACCAATATGATTTACTAAAATTAAAATGTGGCTCAGCACATGATATAACACATTTTTTTTCATTTTCAGATACAAAATTAACTGAGTATCCAGTTGATGACAAAGAGGTTTTGACAATACTTAATGAAGTCTCTGTTGCGAAAAGAGAAGCTGAAATGGTGGGTGAAATTGTTGAAAATATACTGCATGTAGTTGTAAATGGTCTTATTAACAGTGTGAACTGTATGTATGGTGAATTACCCCCCCCCCCCTCAAATTATGGTCATTTTGTGTGGCTGGAAACAGGTGTTTACAAGCAGGTATTGTAATGTTTTCTTTCAGAGACTGGAGGAACAAGACTTTGGAGAGAGGAAAACAATAAACAAGAGAAAGAAGCTCATAAGAGAAGGAAGGGTAAATTACACTCTTTGTATATCCATGTATGCTACAACTGTCAGCCCTCCCCTCCATGTATTCTGCAACTCTCTGCCCTCCCCTCCATGTATGCTACAACTGTCAGCCCTCCCTCCATGTATTCTGCAACTCTCTGCCCTCCCCTCCATGTATTCTGCAACTCTATGCCCTCCCCTTCATGTATTCTGCAACTCGCTGCCCTCCCCTCCATGTATTCTGCAACTCTCTGCCCTCCCCTCCATGTATTCTGCAACTCTCTGCCATCCCCTCCATGTATTCTGCAACTCTCTGCCCTCCCCTCCATGTATTCTGCAACTCTCTGCCCTCCCCTCCATGTATTCTGCAACTCTCTGCCCTCCCCTCCATGTATTCTGCAACTCTCTGCCCTCCCCTCCATGTATTCTGAAACTCTCTGCCCTCCCCTCTATGTATTCTGCAACTCTCTGCCATCCCCTCCATGTATTCTGCAACCCTCTGCCCTCCCCTTCATGTATTCTGCAACTCTCTGCCCTCCCCTCCATGTATTCTGCAACTCTCTGCCCTCCCCTCCATGTATTCTGCAACTCTCCCCTCCATGTATTCTGCAACTCTCTGCCCTCCATGTATTCTGCAACTCTCTGCCCTCCATGTATTTGCAACTCTCTGCCCTCCCCTCCATGTATTCTGCAACTCTCTGCCCTCCCCTCCATGTATGCTACAACTGTCAGCCCTCCCTCC